ATTTAAGTGATTATTTTATTCGCCAGAAAGTTATATATTACGTCTGTGTTATCAGCTCTGAACCCTGATTCAAAAGTTGACGTCCGTCATAATTGCTTACATTGCATTAGCTGTGATTGTGCTGTTATCCCTGAGACACTCGATAAAGACGCCTTTTTTTGGGCGAATAGAAATAGGTATTCCTGAATCATATTCAACTACCAGAGCATTTTACTAACAGTAGGAAGCAAAGTCATTTTATTGTTATCCCCTTCCTTGCTCTCTCTCTCTCTCTCTCTCTGTGCGTGCGTCCGTGTGCGCGTGTTAATAACAGTCTACGCTGTCACGCACACCTTCCTTCCTTGCTCTTTCTCTCTCTCCCTTTCTCTGTGTATGTGTGCGTGCGTGCATGCGTGTGAGCGTGTCAATAACAGTCTCCACTACCACGCACACCGCTGATGGCGTTTTGCATAAGATGATTGCTTTTCTCGTGGTGTAATGACTGTAATCGCGATGACTGTTGGAAGCTTTAAGTTGGGTAGACCGTAGGCCCACAGAAAATGCACCCACAGTCTGACATTGTGTTAGGTGCGACAGACCTTGCTTGAAAGAGCAATTAAAAAACAAGGCAGCAAAGCTGTCAAATGTACAGACAAAAACAGAAAATAAAAATGCAGAAAATGGTTCATTTTGTCAATTTTGATGCCATAAATCATGCCTATAATAGCACTGTCAATCAACACTGAATTTTTATCATGCACAACAGGTGACATCGTCAATCACAGGAGCGGATCCAGAGATATTTTCTGACAGTATTCCAAATTATCTTTGTTGATCCATCCTACATTTTTGATGGTCTTCCAACAGAAAAAACAGATACCCATCAATGTGAACTTAAAAATCTGAAAGACCCAGAAGACGGCCTTAATCCGCCCCTGCAATAAGATTGCAGTTTCAGGATGTGGAAATACAGAAAATGTGAAGAGCTTCAGGTGGATGGGAGCTGAAAATGCTAGCGTTTGAAAAATAAATTAAAAAGAAAACACAACAAAAATATCCCATTAAAGCTGCTATTCAAACTTTTAATCTTGCTGAAATAACATGATATGAATAACCCCAATGTGTTTGAGGATAATATGCCCCTGTTATTCATCTATTTTTTTTTTCTTTTGGTAACTTATTTGCAATATTAAACAACATTTACCTGCATAATTTTCACTGATTCTTAATTATGTGACACAGTTAAGAGAGCTAAACCTATGTGACTTTACTGGGAAGTCTCAATGTGTGTTTTATGTAATCTTATTTAATGGGCACTTGGAAATTAATTAGGCAAATGATTTTATAGCTCTGAATTTAGCTTGTGACTACCCCAAGGGACAATTACCACCATCCATAAACAGTAGCCCCATATAGCACTCTATAGAGCTGCATTGCTTCCAAAACAGAAAACAATCACACTGATTTTCCAACACAAACTGCACGTCAGTCTTACGAAACTTTTCAGTAAGTTTGAGTATCATAAGTANGACCATGGAAGTTCAGAGTCACACTTTCAAAATGCCAAAATGTAAACATAACTGTATTGAATTAATTTTCTTTTCATTTTCGCCTTTTTTTTTTTTCATATAACAAAATAATCAATTTACTGTCATTTTTAAATGAACAACTAAGAAAATTGTTGACATAGAAAAATATAAATAGAACAATTTTAAATGTCCAGTTTGCTCCATTCTGAGATTCTGAACATGGTGAATGATTGAATCTGACAAACTGTAAAGATATGAGTTTATTATTATTTCCATTTTTTTGACACTTTTTTACATAATACACAAATACAGGTTTACCATCTTTTTTATATAATCAACTAACAATATTGTTAAGATGCAGAAAATGTCAAAAGAACACCTTTACATATTTAATTAGTTCACAGATGAGATTGTTAACATGCCTAAGAATTAAACAAAGGAAAAAAACACTTATATACAAAAAAGGCATAACCTCATCAATACTGAACCAATCGAGCTTATTTTCGAACCCCATCTGTATTTCAGTAAGACTGATCACCCCTGTAAATTTCAAGACATTTGGCCAATTGATTTGCATTGAAATGTGTTATCGGTATTGCATACATGCTGAAAAAAAGTGAAAAAAAAACAGCATAACTTCCATAAAATTGGTCCGATCATGCAGATTTTCAAACTTGACCTGTGCAATATGAATATTCATCAGTTCTGTAAGTTTCAAGCCAAAAGGTAAAACGGTTTTTCACTTATCGTGTTATCAGTGTTGCATATATGCTTAAAAAAAATGAAAAAAATAGCATAACTTACATAAAAATGGCCCGATCATGCTGATTTTCGAACTTGACCTGTGTATTATGAATTTTCATTAGTTCTGTAAGTTTCAAGCTAAAAGGTAAAACGGTTTTTCACTAATCGTGTTATCGGTGGTCAAAGTGCACGGCGACGACGACAGACGCAGGTGATGGCTATATGTACAGACACATCTGTGTCTGTACATAAAAAGATTGTGTTTTGTTGCGAACGGACAGCAATTAAAGGTAGAATTATGCCAGGAAATAAATTTGTCTCTGTCCTTATATTTTGGTAATGCTTAATCACAGTTTCCAAGTTTAAATCATGTCTTTTCTTAAGTATTCTGTTAAGAATTGAAATATTGCATGATTTCCTATACCCATATTACAGGTCACATCAATAAATTAATGAAAACAAACAATCAAGAAAATGACAAATTAATTAATTAATTCATCAATTAATTAAGTAATGGCGGTGTTTAAATCACAGTTATTTAGAGGTGGTACGGTCGAGGCTTGAGGCTGTACCTATGGGACGTTTGGGCTCTGTTTTTAGAAAGATCTCAGTGTATATTATTCATGTATTTATGTTATTAATGTATCCACTGGAAGAAGCCTGTCTGTTCCACCTCCCACTGTAACGTCTTCCTGGTAGCGGCGTCCAGGCGGATCATAGGTGCACGTGGCGGTCCCATGTCCAAGCCAATCATTAACATGATTTCCTTAAACACGCTGACATTTCCCGCTGTAAAGTAAAACGTTTCAAATTAAAATAGACTTATTATTTTTCTTAAGACATTCTAAAGAACAAATAAATAAAGGAATAGATTTAGAAAACAAAAGTAATGGATAATACCTTCTTTCCCATAGCGCAGTGCAGTATTGATAAGTGCCTGTGCCCTGTACTGTTCCTTCCTGGCGGTGTCCAGATCACAGTGCTCTAGAGCGACAATCATCCTCTGGAACGGCCGAGGCATGAAATTGTAGG